GTGTTCTTGAAGGTCTGAGAAATTCTCTGAGATAATTGTTTAATGTTATCTTTCCATTTCTATGATATGTATTAAAAATAGATGCACAATTTGGATCATCTGGATGACCCCCATATAACAAAGGGCTGCTCCCTGATTTCAGTTCCCTTACTTGAATCTGTGTTTACTACCAAGTTGGCATCAGTGACTATCTAAAGGGACAGCATTTACCTTTTGATGTGTTAACAAGCACATTTGGCAGCCATTAAGTTGGCTTCGCTTCCTGGCTAGCTCAGATTGAAAGGCTGAGTCCTTCCTGGAGCTGACCTGCAGATTCTGGGCCCTAATACCTCTCTGACTTCATCTCCTGCAGCTTTCTCCCTGGTCCCACCAGCCTCCTTACTGTAGATTTGTGCCCGCAAGGGCTTCGGGACCGGCTATTCTCTCTGCCCAGAAGATTCTTCCCCCAGATATCTGCATGAATAACTCCCTCATCTCCTTCAGGTCTTTGCTTAAGTGTCTGTTTAAGTGATGAAGTTTCTCAATCTTATTTAAAATTGCAACTCTCCCCATCCCTCTCCCTTGCACTCACCCTTCTCTGTTTACAATTATTTATTGTTTATTGTTCATTGTAGCTGGTTCCATTAGAATGCATGCCCTATGAGAGCAGGGATTTGTTTGTTTTATTCATGGATGTCTCCCAAGCTCTTAGAGTAGTTCCTGACACACAGTAGGTGCTTAAAGAATATGTGAGGAATGAGTGCATTCTCTAATGCTTAATTGACAACAATTACTTCTGCCGTTCTGTGCTCAGCTAAATTTGTTTATCAGTTTTACAAGCAAAATGCCTCTTTTGCAGCAATAATTTGCCATGGATAAAACATTTTCCAGTGGATAAAACGTGAGGCTTAAATGTTTGTATGTCTCAAAATGAGATCCATGAAGTTCAGGAGCTCCAAGAACACAGGCTCAGGACACGAGGGGTCCTGACTTTGACTAACACTTCTCTAGCATGCTGCTCACTGACCACTCACCTCTTCCTCTCTCTCACTCCTGGGCCAGGAACAGACATCCTGTTGCCGTCTGCCACAGCTGACTCCTCCTTGTCGGCAAGCAGGGCAGGCTTCACCCTCTGTGAAAGGAGCCTTTTTTTGTACAATTCCAGAGTAGCCATTTCTCTTCTCTTCCCATCATTGTCTTCAGCTTTCCATATAATAAAAGAAACACACTTATTGTATAAGATTTAGGAACTATAAAGACATACTATACAAAGAAATAGATGCCTAAAGACTTGAAATTCTCCTGATTTGTAAAAAGATAACTTCTGTAGTTTGTTTCTCTACCCAAAAATGCGAGACTCAGACACACCTCCAGTAATGTTTCAGTGCAGTTCTTTCTAGTCTTTTCTCTATGTGTATGTATTAAGTTGAAATATAGGAAGTTGCCAATGTTCAACCATTTTGACCCACAAAATGGCAATTTTATATGGCTCAACTTCATAACTCACACAGGTGAAGCCATACTATGCATATAATTTTACATCATATTCTTTTCACGTCATCATAACAGCACCATTTGCCTACGTATTTATGGATTCTTGGGCCCTTCGTGAGCTTGCATTAACAGCACAAATAATTGATGAGCATTAGTATCTCAGTTGGGAGCCCTGCTCTATAAATCACTGAAGCAGACTTCCTGAGTCTTAATGTGACTGACAATCCTCAGTGATTCTTCCAGGAAATTCTTCCTATAAATTCCCCCAGCCAATTGCCTGTGTGCAGTGCCTGGCACTAGATTTTCTGTCCAAATGGCAGCTTCTGGGAATGCTGCTAATAACTGTGTTCAGTTGCTCATCCCTCATTCCTCTTGTATGAATCTGGTCTGTTACCTGTGACGTATATTTAGTTTGTGGCATGTCTTCCTCCTCCAACAACATCACCCTCTTTGGGTTTTTGTTGTTGTTAAGTGGTTTCTGGATTTCCGGGCCAGGTGCAGTCTACCAGCACTATTAAGAGGGAGAGCTATTTTTTGAGCTTAGAAGGGAGAGGGCCATTCTTAGGGCCCTGTCTCTCAGCAAACATTATTAGGACTATCAGCTCTACATCTTTTCATCACAGCAAAGTCCTGAGGAGTCTGTGGACCATGTGGTTCCATCATGTTGTGACCCTGCCTCCAAAATGATTGCCTAGGGCCAGTAATCTCTGTGGGTCCTCTCTGGACTGGCCTATCTGGGACTTGGTACAGCCTTGTTCCCAACTGAGCCTTAATTTGCTCTAGACTTAGCTGGGTTCAACCACAGACTAAGAAGATTATGTGTCCATCCAAAAGGCCCATTTATATAAGATTTGGGAGTTTATGACATAAGATCAACTGTCACTGCTGATAATAACATCATGTCACTCCAGGTGCAACAGCTTAAAAGGATGAATTTTAACATTTTGGCTCCAAGAATAAAACAGTAACAGGAGACCAGAACATTTAAAAGTAATCTGTAGTCTACAAACACATCAAAGGGTAGAGAAAATAAAGCAGAAAAGACACAATGAAATATGTGGCTTCTTTTATCATCAATACTCATACATGGTAAGCTACTACACAGAAAGGCAGTGTATCACCCTGGCTTTGAGGTCAGACAGACCTGAGTTCAAATCCTCACTGTTATCAGTTCCTAGATTGTTTTCTCTTCTGTTAAACTGAACTAAAAACACCCACTCTGTAGGGTAACTGTAAGTATTGTAAGGATTAAAGGAAAAATATGTGTAAAATATTAATCAGACCTGGGCTTGATAATAGCAGTTATTACCATTAGACTTACACAAAACAAGAATTTTTAATTTAAATGTTTATTATTGCAAACAGAGCATTGTGACATTAAGAAACTTTAAAAAAGAAACCAACCCACTATCCCCCCCAAAAGTCAAACTATTCTATTTTCCCATATTTCCTTCTAGTCTTGGTGAATGTCGATATCATCTTTACACAATTTGTGTTTTCAGCTTTTTTCACTTAACGTTGTACCACAAGTTTTCTCCTGTTGCAACATGGTCTTTCTAGTTTAGTGTAAAATAGCTATTCTTTCAACTTATATACCATAACCTAATTAATCATTCCTCTATTGTTGAGCATTTAGATTCTTTCCAATTGGGGAGCATTCTTTCATTTTGTTCCTGTTTCTCTTACGGCGATTTGAAATGAATGATTTTGGGCCGGCCGGTGGCTCACTCGGGAGAGTGCGGTGCTGATAACACCAAGGCCCCAGGTTCGGATCCCGTATAGGGATGGCCGGTTTGCTCGCTGGCTGAGCGTGGTGCTGACAACACCAAGTCAAGGGTTAAGATCCCCTTACCGATCATCTTTATAAAAAAAGAAAAAGAAAAAAGAAATTAATGATTTTTTAAATATTCAGGTCTTTTCCCTTAAGTGTATGGATATTTCTAGTTCGAATTGGAGAACATTGTTTAAGCTAATGACTTTTGACTCTGGGAAAGAAAAGGTGGTTTTAATGTAGTGACGGCAGATTGAGGGGACCCCAACTCACAGGTCCGTTAATCTCGATGTCCTCATCTCAGCAGCAGGAAAGCTGGTATGAGGATGACGGATCACTGAGATGGGCCCTAAAGAAATGGATCTTTAAAGTGGACTGACCACGTTCACGTTCTTGGTTGCGTTCAATTTCCACTCGCGGCCCAGATCGAAGCGTAGGTATTCGTATTATTTAAGGCACAGAGAGGGTGAGGCGCTTGTCCCAGATCACACAGCAGCTGGGAAAGGTCAGAGAACACCGTCCGCCCACTCGGAATACCTAGTTTTCTCACTGCGCTTTGAAACAAATCCCCAGCCTCCGTGCGAGGGGGCGGAGAGGCCGAGCCGCGGAAGCCCGGGTAGGGCCCTGCCGGGTCTGTCGCTTGCCCTTCCAGGGGGCTCCTCCTTCCGGGCGCCCGGCCCCGCCCGGCTGCGAGCATGCCCAGTGCGCTTCCTGCCCGTCCGAACGGTGCTGGGCGGGCGCCGCGGCTCCAGGTTTTGCGGGCGACCCAAGGTCGGGGCGGGGCGCGGGCGTTCTTGCCCCCGGGAGTCCCGGGCTCGGTCGGAATTCCCCCGACGCGACGCCCGGGCGGCGCCTGCTGCGGCGGCGCTACCCCAGGACGTGCGACGGGGGGGACAAGGACCGAAGTGAGGTACCGGGCGCTGTCGGGGCCTCTGTATGGCCCTGGACCTCGGGCACCCGGATCCGGACAGGAGTGTTCCAGCCATCTGCCCATCCCTTCGTTCACGTATTCACTCAACACATACTTTTTGAGCACGTACTGTGTGCCAAGCGCTGATGTAGGGGCTGTGTCACTGCGGTAGACACAGCTACAGCTCCAGAGCTGACGTTCCGGAGGGGAAGACACCGTCAGAAGTAAGCAAATGAGAGGAAAAGCCAAAGTTACCAACCGCGACTGCTACTCTGCCCCCCTCGCCGTTCCCTAAGCGGTCCCGAGCTGTAGGGTCTTTGCACTGGCTGTTCCCTCTGCCAGGAATGCTCTTCCCCATTTATCTGCATGGCTGAAATATCACCTCAGTGTCACCCGATCAGGCAGCCCGATCAGCTCAAGGGCCCTACCTGACCGCCTCGTTGAAATTCGCACTACATCCACCCCCAAACCTCCTTAACTTGCTTTTCCCCTCGTAGATATGATCCCTTTCTAATACATTACATAGTTTGCTAATTTGCTGTTTATCTGCAAACCTCACCAGGGCACAGGATTTTTGTCTATGGGTTCACCACGCTTGAAGGAACGGAGTAGGTGCTCAATAAGTATTCGTCGAATGGATAAACAGTGGTAAATGCTACGGTAAATGGAGAGTGGCCAGGAGCAGAGGGCTAATTTAGGAAGGTGGTCAGGGAAGGCCCCTCCGAGGAGACATAGGTACAATGAGAAGGCGCCAGCCACGTGAAAAGCTGAGCAGAGACGTCCCACACAGAAGGAAAGGCATGCGCAGACGTCCTGAGGCTGGTCAAGTTCTGAGGGTTTGACGGACAGAAGGTGCTCTTGGGGCTGCGGGAAGGCGGGTGGGAGATGAAGCGGAAGGGGCCAGCAGGACCGCAGATCAGGTAGGAAGCCCCACAAGCTTGGGGAGGTTTAACCCGGGAGGCTTACTAGTGCAACGTTTGAGCACTGGACTGGGAGTCAGCAGGACGCCAGCTCCACCGCGGAACGCCCCCACCCCCCATCTCAAAGATTTGTGGAGTGCGGACAGCATGCCATTCCCAGGAATGAAATCACTGAGAGCCCGCCACATAGTAGGTGCCCAGTAAACGGTTATGGAACGAATGCCGGTTGCATGCGCGACGGAACTCAGAGCTTGCCCGGAGCTCGGCTGCAGAGCCCCGGTGGCCCTGGGAGACGCGTCGGGGTGCGCCGGCTGCGGGCGGGGGCAGGAGCACCCCGCAGGCCGGCCGGGACTCCCGCCCCCCGCCCAGCGCGCGGGCCCGTC